TGGAAAATAGCCAATTCAAAAGTGAGTTTTTGCCATATTGTGAAATTCTATTCTCTCAAGTTATGAGGTTGTTTGAGAAGTTCTTGGACATTTTGGAAAGCTTGGAATGTGTAATACAATCCATCTTTGAAATGAAAATTGAAATTCCAAGTGGAAGTGTATGGAAAATGGCCTTGAAGTTGGGTAGAAAACCTTGTCAAAATAGGTTAAAATTTCACTAAGTTAAGAATGGTTTAGTGCCCTTATTCAAAAATTTGTAACTTGAGATACAAGCCTCATTTGGGAAAACTTTGTGAATAAAAGTTGTATATTATGCAACAAGCTACAACTTTCATGTTTTGACTTTTGTTTGAATCCAAATGAATCTTGGTGAGAAAGTGGGGCAAAGTTGGGAAAAAATTAGGGTTTTTCATAACTTAGAAAAATTCTAAGTTATGAAAAATTCTCATTTCTAACCCTAATTTGCATTTTTTTGATTTCTTGGTGAACAAGTTTCATGATTTGGCATGTTTTGATGAAAAATGAATCTTGACTCTTGATTTTGACCAAAAAGTCAAAGTTTGACTTTTCAGTATACAGTCAAAATTGATCAATTGACTGGGAAATTCAACTGTCAATCTTGTGTACTTGGGATCTTTTGAGTTTGTTGAGCATGTCAAGATAATTCCATGGGGTCCTTGAGTCCATATGTGAGCTTGGTTTGCCATTGGCTAGGTCAAACAGTCAAAAATTGCCTTTGTGCAGTCAAAACCCTAAAAATGACCATTTTGCCCTTTTGGTGATCTGATCAAATTTCTTGTGGAATTGTGATCCAAACTTGATCAAATGGTTCATAGGAGTTTATAATGTTGATGTGGGTCAATTTTCATGAGGTTTGACTGTCAATTGGCCACAGTTGACTTTTTCCCCAATACAGTTGATTTCTAGGTCAATTGTCCAATTGACTGGGCAAGACTTGGAATCAAGACTTGAAACTTGATGAGGATAAACTTGGGAGTCCAATATGAAGCAAGAAAGTCATCTTAGGCACTTTGGGTCAAAACATCTTTGTGCAAACACAAACCCTAATTAGGGTCAACAGTGCAAGGAGAAGTCTTTGAGCAGATGAAACCCTAACTGGATCTTGACCTTCAAGGGCTTTGTGATGAGAAATCAATGAGAAATGGGAGGGCAAATTTTGGGGTACAACAGCAAGCGATGGTATTTTAAAAATGCAAAGCTTATGTTTGTCTTGAAGTTTGAAAATTCACTTTTTTAGTAAAACATACAAATTTTGTAGGAGTGTGATATCAACTCAGGATTTAATAGCAAACCTTACAGGAGTCAGCATACCTTTTGTAACAATATGCTTTCAAATTAACCCATGCTTCGGTTAGGACTTTTAAGGGTTGTAACGTGGCCTGGTTCACGGTTTAAGAAACAAAGGGTAAAGGCTCCAATTTTATTTGTATCCAACCCGTTCTTCGTGATGTTCTTCAATCCTATGCTCAGCTAATTATGTGTTTAGATCCCAATTGAGTCTGGAGTGTTTGCTCTGACACTTGGTGATGATTCAGAAATTGGACGTTTGTTTGAGAAGGCAGCCACTTTAGTAACCTTTTCTTTTATTTTTGTTGAGGATTTGTTGGACCTCTTTTTTTTATTTTGTTATCCCTACTTTTGCATGAACTGTTTCTTATGATTACAGTCAGCGGGATTCCCCAGTTTTTCTTAAGTCTCCTTCATAGGTTTTTGACTTAACGGGCTTTTATTTTGAGAGGTAATGATTGCCTGTCTTGATGGTTATGTGTAACTATCACCATCTTTTGTAGAGCACATTCTACACCATTTGTCGTGTATGAAGGTAGAGCTTGCGACTAAATGCATGTCTGAATTAACTAAGAGAACTACCCTACCCCAGGTTATGATTAAGGGTTTTAATTTGTGTGAAAAGAAAAACTCTTACTTCTTAGGCTCAAAGGGGTTGACTAGGGATTATCTTCTTTATAACTCCACTATTTATGATTTGAAACAACGCATGTACACCGACAGCAGGGTCTGTTCAAAAGCATATTGTAGAGATCATGGCATTATTTTCGTCATCCTCCCTCTAAAGGCTTACAGCTTTTAACCGAGAGTTAAATATGACAAAAGGGAAGCAAGAAAGCCATTTAAATATAATGGAATATGAAAATGACATAATTCAAGACAAACATATGTAATGCATTAATGGGAAAAGCAAATTTTGACATGATAGTAATTGTTTGAACGAGCAAAGGAAATTACAATTGAAAAAACACAAATGAACTAGATGCTCTCAATGATTTGTCCTAGGAGCAGTGATCACGTAGTGAGTCTCTGGAGGGTCGAATTCAATCTCCTTGGCATCAATCATATCCTAAATTTTGTTCTTCAAAGCCCAGCAGCCATTCGTATCATGTCCAAAACTATCAAAATGGTATGCACACCTTTCATTGGGGTGGTAGCTAGGAGCAGGGGTATTAGGATTCCGTAGAGGAGCCTTTAGTGTAATCAATCCCTCTTTCAACATTTGTTGTAATGCTTGAGCTAGTGACATGTTAATTTTGGTGAATTGTCTCTTAGGTGCGACCTTCTTACATTGATTCAGTTGTTGATGTCGTTGCACAGGCGTAGGATTAGAGACCAGTACTACCCCCGCAGATGGGTTGTGGTTACCTCTAGCATGTCCCTCCTGGCCATATACAGCATTAGCTTCCTTCTTGCCACCGAATGGCTTCCTCTCAGCATTAGAAGGTGTAGCCATTGGAATCTTCCCATTCTTAATACCGCTTTCGACTCTTTCACCTGTCAGTATCAGCTCGATGAACCCGGCCGAAGAAATTCCAATCAAGTGGTTGAGGAATGGACTAGACAAAGTGCCCAAGAACATGTCTACCAGCTCCGTATCAGACAGAGGAGGATGGAATCTCCCTGCAATATCCCTTAACTTCTGGGCGTAATCCTTGAAACCCTTGCGGGACCCATAGACATATTTTGCAATTGTGTGCGGGTTGGAGCGAGGTCAGCATTATATTGGTACTGCCTGTAGAAAACAGCAGACAAGTCTTCCCATGTATGAATGTCAATTCCCTCTAACTGATAGACTCACTCCAATTGAGTGCCAGCCAAACTTTCTTGGAAGAAATGGACCCATAACTTCCGGTCAGCAATGTGAGGCTGGATTTTTCTGATGTATGATCTCAAGTAAAGGTTAGGACAAGAGACCCCGTCATATTTAGAGAACGTGGGTACCTTGAATTTTGGTGGGATGACCACTCCTAAAACCAACCCTAACTCTTCAAAATCAAAGTCGGGTATCTGCTGAATCTCCATAGCATTGAGGCGATCCTCCGGTTGTTTATATTTATCATCAGCGGAAGGATATTGTTCCTCAGAGTAGTCAGCTTCATCTTCATCCGTCCTCGGTGTTATACCCCAATTTTTGCCCCTAAGATCCCTCATCATACTTTGTACATTTCACACATAGCATTGGTCTCATGGTTATAGGATCGAAGAGCTTTGGCATTAGGGTTTCTCTCTATGGGTTGAGGTTGCTATATTATTCAAAGTTGATTCAACTGGTGCTCTTGTTATTCTTGGTATGAGATTAGGGTTTTGTGTTCATGGACATTATGGGCTTCGTCTCATCAAGCTACAAAGCTTTCCTTTGTCAAGATTTCTCGAGCGCATCGAGTGTTTAGGGTTTCATCAAGGCTTCATCAGAGGTTTCCTTGGAATAGGGTGACATTCAAGTTAGGCTCTTTAAGAATTTGGTATATCATTGAATTGTATCGTTCAAAGAGTTTTATTACATGTTACCTATTGAGCGAGGCTCGAAGATAAATTCATTTGAAATTTAAAGTGCAAACTATGACTTGAGAAATGGGCTTGCGATTTCTTTGAAATAAAACTGTTTGGGTTGCTTGATTCGAGTATGTTCGTTGATAAATGGAGTGGACTTCAAGACTAATCAAATGTCATCAATCATTTTGGTTATTAAATCGTCAAAAAAGAGAGGGGGAAGCCAATTCAAAATGATTGGAAAGCAAGAGCGCCTGAATTACTTGGAGTTGAAGTTATAAGTTGCGGAGTTCAACATATATCATTGTTTCATTTGCAGTTCATCATCGTTATGCGAATCTTGCATATCTTTCGCCGTTTACGTCACTCAAGTTTAATATCTCAACATTCATCATCAAAGTTCATGATATTCATCACTATTCTACCAACAATATTTCAGGAGCAAAGAAATGAGTATTCAATTACAAGTTCAAAAGCGATCAAGAGGAATTCAAACTCAATTTTAAAGAGAAAAAGCAAACATTTTTTTGAATAATGGGGGAGATTGATATTGAAATCAAAAGATTCCAAAAGATATTCATCAAAAGCTATAATTTCATTCAAAATGTCAAGGAAGGCTTGTTCATAATCCATCCTAAAATTAATTATAGAATACACAAAAAGAGTGACATGAATTCCTAAGTCCGAAAGCCTATGTCAAATTAAATCCTCAGCTGTTACAACCAAGAAACAAGCCTCGCACGTTTAAAATCCATGACTAATTTTGTTGCATACTGTAATCCCCAAACTATTCATTCCTAACTGTGTTTTCCAGCTAGACTCAAGATCGGTTCCGGATTGTTTTGAAGTTCTTTTCTTCATGGCCAAAGAAGTTATGACTCTATCATTCTTCTAAGACAACCTCCTTAGATCTTGCCAGCATAAGTCCTTACCTTCCGAACCTGCATAAATCAGATCATTGTCCAATTGATTGTTAGAAGAAATCGCAAAAATATAGTCACGTGTTAAATTCTTTCATTTTGAATTATGCCAAAAAAATCACTGTCAAGACAGGTCAAACAATGTGTACATACCTGCAGTAACTAAAGAAGCATCATTATTTTGGAGCATGTGTTAAATTCATAAAAAAGGTGTTCACCTAATTACTACTATACCAAATCAGATAAACCAATTTCAAACTAGCAAAGACCTACCCTATATCAAGCTAACTCGCGGCTGCTACCAACACCAAGGCCTGTTCCATAAAATAATCCAAAAGTCAGATGAAATTGAGAATGAGAATGGAGATGTAGATCGCGCTATTGTGTTGCCACTCGCAGAAGATAATCAAAAAGTGAACGGTTGTAATACTGAGATTGGTTGTGAGCGATATTTAAAATGCCAGAGTGCATTCATTCTAGCACCCTGAACGCTTCCGCTTCCGTGCTTACGGCCTACCAACCTGAGTATGAGTTTTTCCATGCCAAGAAATCACTCTTACCAAAAAGCATGCTATAATGGAAGCTACTATCCAAATAAGATGTCGGAAAGCACTTTGGCACACCTATTCTGGAACCAGCATCGTTGCCTTTAAGCTTCAATCCGAAACCTATTTGTATATCGAACCTGTATGTTGACAAACAAGAGTTCAACAAAATGAGGGTTTGAAGTAAAATAGAAGAAAAAAACGGATGAAAGTTTTTGAATACCGAATTAGAAGTCAGAAAATAGCAGGACACAAGTTCAGTGCGAAATCAAAGCAGAAAAAGGAAGGAAAATCACGAAGATTTACTAACACTTAAAATATCGTAGAGTTCCTAAAAACCAACTGATATAACAGAAATTGACCAGCTCATCAAAATATAACTAACTCTCTAACACCTCTAACTGTTTCCTAACCAATTTCTAACGGCTAACAGAATTGGTAATAGAATGGGGAGAAGGAGGTGATAAGAGAGTTCATAACTGAATTGAGAGAGGAGAATAAAAAAAAGAGTTTACCCGAGAGGATTCATTCTAAAAAAACCATTGGAAAATTTCGTTCTTCTCTCTGAAACCTCTACCTTGATCACAGTAACCTTCCTACTTGAACCCCCTTTCATCTCTCTGCATAATGAACTATGCACCTTCATTCAATCTTGAACCTTCATTCGATCTCTACATCTTCATCTTCCCCACATCCTCTATCAGAATCCTTCTTCACTGCAACTTCAACGTGAACAACATCAGTGTTCCCCTTCCTCTTTGCAATCTCTCTCTGTAAACTTGAATCTTCATCACCACACCTTCAAGCCTGCAACTCCTCGCAATCACATCGCATTCATATCGCACAACAACAATAAAAACTCAGTAACAGAGAGAAAGTACAAAGTTGACGGAAGCGAAAGATTGATTCACAGAGAAAGAAGAAGAATATAGAATAAGAAGAAGAAGAGAAGAATAGAGCGAGAATATTACCACACTTTGCACCTCGTCAAGATTCACTGCGCTTGCTACCGTTCAGATCGCGCCTCATCGACGTCTGAGTCCGGTTCAAATTCTTCTTGAACTTCCGCTGTAGTTTAAGGTTGAATTTTATCCATTTCTCGTTGGTTAGAGAAGGCCGATGGCAGTCACCGAAGCAACGACAATGTTAAACGAATGAGGTGAGAACCAGAGTCGTTGCAAGCTGAGAAGGGACCGGAGGTGATTAATGGAGTCGGGTCAAGAAAGATGATTCGGAGGAGAAAAATGCATGTGGACGGTGGAGTTAAATTGATGTGTCACCGCCGCGTTCGAGAAAGGAGAAGAAAGGACATTCGTTTCACGTAGGAGTTGAATGGACGCCTCTATCTAACCCTAATTCCTTCCCCCTTTTTACAGTGAATGTGTTTTTTTAACGTGGCCTGGATGTGGGGTCCTTGGGCTATCTTTGGGCCCGTCTTCTCTCATTTCTTATGCAAAAAAAAAACGTCGAACCTGGACCGAGTCATCACCATTGAGCCCATTTCAACATTTTTTTGGAAAGCTAAAACTTTATTTGACCAAAAGTTGGCTTAGTAGACCTTGCTGAAGGGGCCTAACACCTAATTACTACTACACCCCCTAGACTCTGTCTCACGCCCCCCTTAATTCTTCTAACTTCTTATTTTGTTTTCATTTTCTTTTTGTTTAAATTTTTGTAATAAAAGATAAGAAATATATATATATATATATATATATATATATATATATATATATATATATATATATATATATATATATATATATATATATATATATATATATATATATATATATATATATATATATATATATATATATATATATATATATATATATATATATATATATATATAATAAAAAAGTAAAAGGTGTAGATTTTTAGGAATGCCTTTTTTTTAAGGTAATAAACTACAATATCAATAAATTTTGTTAGACTTTTATGTGATTTTAGGAAATTAATTCCTAATTTTTTATTACTTGAAACTTGTGAATCACCTTTGCTTGTTGAGTTGAGTCTTATGCAAGTTCATTATTCGATATGCGGATGTGTTTGGATTTCGATTGTGATTTATTTTTCACATGGGTGAAGCTTCAACACCTATTCCAAATATTCGATCTCTGACTGTTTGTTTGTCGATGCCAGCTCGCGCGAAGTACACCGGGTTTCTTTGCTTTGGTTGCGCTTTTTGCGGACATCATTGTTCGTTTGGTATTATACTGCTTCCAAGTTATATTTCCGCATTCATTGCTTTCTAGATATCATGAGAAGTAGGAAATAAAGAGCGTGCACTTGAAGTCGCTGTTTAAAGACCTGTAGCAGGCATTTCGCACTTCATTTATTATATGTGTTGTGCCTGTGTTTGTTCCTTTCTTGTCGATCGATGAGTCACTCAATTTAGAAATTGAGATCACGACTTCGCTCTCAGTGCATGCTCCCTAAAGGATTTTATCGCCTTCTTTTATTTCTTGTTGATCGATGAGTCACTCAATTTAGAAATTGAGATCACGACTTCACTCTCATGGTATGTTCCCTATAGGATAGTTTGTTAGAATTTCTTTGGCATGATAACCTAGATAGGATCACTCTTTGTATGATAACATTAGGTTAGATTTAGGTTAGTCTCCCTTTAGACTTTTCTTTCCCCTTTTGCATTTGCATTAAAACTAAAACTTCTTTTTCTTGGCAAATGTATAAAAAATGCTAAGCATACAAAAATTCTTTTCATGGTAAAAAAAATACCAACCAATCCATTTCTTTTCCCCCATTCATCTTTTCTCTTCTAAGAGCATGTTAGCTCCTTTCCACTACAGGTCGTAAGTCTCCAAAGGTCGAGCAGCGGTGGAATGATCGAATGCAACATTGTTCATTTAAGAAATACAAACAAACAAAATATATGAGCCAAACTATGGTGCTCTGATTTCTTAAAGGGGATACGTAGGCATCTAGTCACGGGGCTCCGCCGAGCAAAAATTTGTAAATACTACCTTCTTTTCCCCGTGTTTTCTTTGCATGCATTCCCTCTTAGTTTATAACCCCTAAGCATTAGATTGAACTCACCCTTTGATTTGAACAACGAGAGTGGATCCCGTGGATTACTATGGACGTGTGGGGTGCTAATACCTTCCCCTCGCGTAATCGACTCCCTTTACCCAATCTCTCAGTTGCAAGACCTTGATTTCCCCTTTAGGTTTTTCTTCGACGATTTTCCTTTCCCTTTTATGCGATAAATAAATACCCGGTGGCAACTTCATTAATTTTACCGCTACAGAAAAATGGCGACTTCACTGGGGAAAGATCGACCAATTGTTGGTCCATCCCGTGAGTCACTCTTAGCTCCAATTTTTCTTTTCTTAGGGTGTTTATCATTATGCTTTTATGGATTATTCATTTGTATATGTTTGAGCATATGTTTGCATTGCATCTTTATTATTATTTGTTATATTGTTGTTGTGCTGGTTTCTCTTTTTTTTGTTGGGTGGGTGTTACTATGAGGTAAAAGGCCCAATACCCAGGCCAAGTGGCAACCACGGGAACACTAGGAATAGAGTGGAACATGAACGGCTAGTTGACTTAGGTTTCACTATGCTATTATGTTGTCCATGCTCAGATGACATAAAAATAAGGGGCTATCATTTTCACGTAGGTGATACAGCGATAGTTTTTCAAGAGTACCCTCGATTCTGAGTTACCATTGACCTTACCATGACCTAGTCTTTACCCGTGAGTGGGGAGGGAATAATATTTACAGGTACAGATGGTGACTATACATGTTTTGTTGGTGACTCATATTATACTGATGACCTTGATTCTTGGTATTCTGAATTGGTCCAGATCTTTGATCTTATTACATATGACAGTGGTTCTGTTATTAGCTCAGCAGCTACCCAGTATTACAGAAGCTTTGACCCCGCATATTGGCATACATAGCATGTTAATGTAATCACCAGCATACATATTCTCCGTTTCCAAACATCATTTCTTTGATTCCAGTTTCTAAGCCAAAAAAAATATATAAATAAACAAAAAATAATAATAATAATAATAAATACACAAAAAAAACTATATAATGATATTGTGGCTTAGTAACAGGAATCAAAGCATAGAAACTTTTGGAAATAAAAATATGACATTTATATTGCCTGTCATGCATCATGTTACATTTAACTATGCATTTCATGAGTTTCACATAATTCTTACCCAAGATCCTTTGGTCTTCAGAATCAAGTTGTCTCACTGGTACAACACTCGCACCAACTCTAAGAAGAAGATGGAAAATCTCGAACAGGAGAATCGCGAACTGCGCGAAGAGGTTACCGCTTTAAGAACCGGAATGGAGAACTTAACTGCTTTGGTAGAGTCATTGGTGGCTGCTCAGAATCATCCGCCACCTCCTCCACCTCCTCGTGCTACGCAACCACAACAAGGAACGGTTATCTTTGAAATTATGACAACTCCCGTCTCGGTTGCTCTAAATACTACCGCTGCTCAGCATTGCATGCCTCCTGGATATCCATGGGAAATGCCTGAAGGTTATACGCCAGAAGGATATAACCCTACTCCTCAAATTGCTCAATCTGCTCAACAAGTTATGGCTTCTTCCCCTCCTGTGGTACACGTTGCTCCTACTGTTAACAATGAGATATGTCATGTTGTGCCTCCAGTAATGAATGTTGTCCCTGTTATTAATGATGTGGTTCACCATACTACTCCCCCACCAAGTGAAGGAATTGGATTCTATGACAGAATCGATAACTTCCAAGATCAGTTTAATGAGATGCGAAAAGAAATGAAGGCCCTCCGGGGAAAAGAACTGTTCGAACAGAATGTAAGTGATCTATGCCTAGTTCCAAATGTAAAAGTGCCTGCGAAATTCAAAGTGCTGGAATTCGAGAAATACAAGGGCAATACTTGCCCCCGTTCTCATCTGGTAATGTATGTGAGGAGGATGTCCACTCACACTGACAATCAACGTTTGCTAATCCATTTCTTTCAAGATAGTCAGACTGGTGCTGCACTGAAATGGTACATGAGCATGGATAGTGACAATATTCATACCTTCAACGACCTAGGAGAGGCGTTCGTTAAGCAATACAAGTACAATATGGACATGGCGCCTGACTATGATCAACTCAAGGCTATGGTCCAGAAAGACAAGGAGTCATTTAAGGAATACGTGCAAAGGTGGCGTGAAGTGGTCGCCCAGGTAATCCCCCCAATGAAAGAGAATGAGATGACAAAGATCTTTCTAAAGACTATGGGTTCCTTCTACTATGAAAGAATGGTGACGAGTGCGCCAAGTGACTTCACCGAAATTGTAGGTATGGGTGTTCGCTTAGAAGAAGCTGTGAGGGAAGTCCATTTGACAAGAGATGAAAGTTCCAGTGGTACAAAAAATCGTCATATGGATTTTCTAGAAAGAAAGAAGGAGATACAAATGTTGTTGTTCAAGAGAGGAGGGTTAAACCTCCTAGAAGACGTCATGTGCATCAACAACAGGTTGCTTCGGTGACTCTGGTTGTTAATGTAACTCTGACTACTGTTGCATATCAAAGAACACCACAACAAAGCAATCAAGGGCAGGGTCAAAAGAGAGAAGCCTTTGATCCCATCCCTATGAGCTATACAGATCTATTTCTAGCATTGATT